TAAGACAAATGGTAATAATGTTAGAAATGATTCGCACATGAAAATATCAGAGGTGTGAGAGCCGGGATTTGAACCCGCTTTACTCGGTTTCCCAAGTGAGCGCGTTACCACTGAGCTACCATTACCCTGTGACTTTTGCCTGTGACCTTATATTATTTTTTCCTATTATATTTCCACATTAATATGAGCGACTTAAAATGCTGGATGGATTTGGATTTTAACACATAAATATACTATAACCTGGAATAGCACATCGGTTACTGTTAGTCATCTAGAGCATCCGAACTAGGACAAATGGCTAGCATCATATCATAATCTATACTATAATATTATAAATACCTAACGTTAGAGAGTTTACGACCCTAGGAGGACATAGGATACGTTTTATCCCGGAAATCACCTTAAGGGGGTGAAAATGGGCATAAAAGTTGGTATTGGGATTTAGGTAGGTAAGTTGATAGTTGGTATTTGGCAAGCTATTATTAAATATCTCATAAATTAAATATGTTACAAAAAAATGAGTGCGTGTAACCTTTACGCGCGCTTAAAGTAAAACTTCTTTGGCGCTGTGACAGATACCGCAATTAATAAAAAAATTTTTGTAAAATTACTAGTAATATATATTCATTTTTATAAATAGTAATCATTATAAAAATATAAATATATTATTATATGTATTTTGTTTTTATTATCAATAATAAACTTGACTCTCACTTCCGCGACACTCATTTTTTCAATATATTACTTACCCCTCAGTGACGCCAAAAGAGGTTCTACTTCAAAATTTGTTAGGAATTGTGTATATATCTACGTACACTTTTCCTAACAAATATCTCGTCGACATTCTGGCGTCATAAGAAAGAAGGCCGTAACTTCCTCAAACTTGATTTCGAGATATTTGAAGTTTTGTCTTAGTTTTGACGTAGTTACGATGAAAATGGTTATGGTATCTCCGGATTCATAAGACTTATAGCTTTATGAGTAAGATTATCAAGTAGCTTTTTTTTTGCTGATTCCGAATCTGCATTTAAGTCATTTTTGATCAAATTGTTAGTTGTAGTTGTAGTAGAAGACTCTTCTATATTATGACGGCATTATGACGTTAAACTTAAGTCAAACCAGAAAAAAAACAAAAATCGAAGGTTTTAATTGTCTAAACACAAATTCGAACTTACGCACGCCACATAAAGTACTATTTTAAACAAAACATCGCGCGTCTTAATTTTGTCATCCGAAAAGCAATGAACAAAAGAGATTTGAAAAAAGCGCATAATTTCGAATTGTGCACACTTTTCTGAAGACACTTTTGCACCGCTGAGGTATCATGAGTTTTGTATATCAATGCAAAAAATCGAGTATTTTAGTACTTATTCAACCAATTGAAATATACAGCATTAGTAGATTAATTACAAGTTCTAAAATACTCATGATTAAAATAAGAAACTTATACTAACACTACCTTTCGTTTAATTAAGTTTGACCTTTACTCGCAACGCTAATCGCGCCGACGTATCGTGATATGTTTATTTGTACTCTAACTTTCATGGGTGTAAAAGGTTGTTAGGTACAACCATTTATTTTGAAAGCTCTTACATAAAAATTAGTACCTGGACGACCGAGCTTTACTCGAATTTTTTAGCCAAAAGTATAATTTTCTTTTTAATTTAGCTTCAAAACAAAGAAAAAACTAAAAACTTGAATTAATACAATAAAAAGTAAAAAAAATGTATCCGACCGGGATCCGAACCCGGGCACCTGTGTTTATCAATCTTCCGAATTGGCTGCTTGTTCACGATGCTTATGCCCGAACATGCAAAATTAGCGACAATATTTTGCGTGGAATAAAGCGAAAGAAAAACGCATGAAAACTCGAAAACATGCATTTTCCCAGACATAAGACTAATCTAGATCGATATTTCGCCCCCGAAAACACCCCTAAATACCAAACTTCAGCGATATCGTTAGAGCCATTTTCTAGATCGCCGGTATAATTAAATAAAAAATATACAAGAATTGCTCGTTTAAAGGTATTAGATTATATAACGCGTAAATAAAAAGCTTCCCGCTACATTAACGTTTGACGACACGCTTGGCTCAGTTTGTAGTGACCCTACTTGCTGTGCCAGCGGTCACGGGTTCGAATCCCGCTGAGGACATTCATTTGTGTGATGAGCACGAATGTTTGTACTCCAATCATGGGTGTTTATATTTATAATAGGTAGTATTTAAAGTTATATGTACAGTGTAATGTTAACTATCTGGTATCCATAACACAAGCCTCGTAGCTTACCATGGAACTAGATGGTGCTGTGTGTTAATGTCCCAACATATGTATGTACGTACATCTTCACATTTCACGCTTTAATGCTTTGATGTTCAAAAAAAGTGTTTATTCCACCCTTAGTGGTGGAAATTTTTTCTTGAAATTTATATGAGAACAGATCATAGTGATTTATTATTTAGTATTTTAAATGAAGTAATTTTTTCGGAATTTTTCGCAATTTTTTTTTCTTACTTGCTATTTCACTTTACTCTCAAACTATTCTATAATTTTATGGATACCATTCGTAATAACTATGACTTTTGAAGCGTGAAAACCAAAGAAGGCAGAAAGTAGTTTTTTAATAATATATTCAAACCCTTTTTAACGTCCCACTGCACTGATGTGCATGGGCCTCCCTTCAAAACGATTTTCAATACTTGAAAAATAAAACAAATCACTATCTATACTAATATTAAAAATAGAAAAGATTTGTTTTTTTGTTTGTTTGTTTGTACCGAATAGGCTCCGAAACTACTGTGCCGTTTTAGATTAAATTTGGTATGAAGATAGTTTGAGACCCTGGGAAGGATATAGTATAGTTTTTATCCCGGAAATCATCCCTTAAGGGGGTGAAAATGGGAAAGAAAGTTTGTATGGGGAATCAACCTAGGGACGAACCCGAGCAAAGTGAGGGTGAGTGGCTAGTTTATGATAAAAAAACTGATGAATCCAGATCTGTCTACTAGTATACGATAGGAACGTCCTTAGTATTTTATTATATAATAGAAATCACAAATTCAAAGTTAGCCTAGCTGTAGCTATTCTTTAAATATTTTTAACATTCTATTGAATTCGCAAAGTGTTTTCTCCGGGGTAACATTTTATAAAGTAAAATGTTTTTGGCTCAGACGTAGTTTGTATGAATTGTGTATCTGCTTGTGAATGGAAAATTTAAAAATATATAACATACGTGTCAAATGGTCCTAGAATTCTTTTATATGGGCAGACAATGAGATAAATGAGACGCTTGTATGTTAACTATGGACTTTCCCTCGTTTCTGAGTGCTTTCTCTATATTTATAAATATTTGACGGTAGGTTTGGCTGAGTTTGTAGTGACCCTGCTTGCTGTGCCAGCGGTCGCGGGTTCAAGTACCGCTGGGTGTATTCATTTGTGTGATGAGCACGAAAGTTTGTACTCCAGTCATGGGTGTTATATTTATAATATGTATGTATTTTAAGTTATATAAGTGTAGTGTATCAACTATCTGGTATCCATAACACAAGCCTCGTAGCATACCATGGAACTAGATGGTGCTATGCTACTATATATAATTAACACTAAGAATTTCTTATTAACATTAACAAGTTCTTATCACAAAAGTATTTTATTGCCTTATCTAACTTATATACTAAAATTGCCATTAATCTGAGATATATGAGGCAGTGGTACCCTTTTTTTTAACGTTGGGAAATGCATTTACGCACGAGGTGTGGGACCCACCAAAGCCAGTACTACCCACTAAAACCCAACAAAACCTTCCCCCGTCTTAATGGGGCGTCGCAGGATCGCTTACGCATTCAACTACGACGCCCCGACGGCAGGTCTGCCAAAGAAGACTGCTCCACAGTCCACTCTGCTATCAGAGAAGTACCAGGAGCAACCCGCATGGTACACTGCCCTCCGAAGAGGGCCACCTCCCACTACCCACCGAAGTGGTCCACCTCCCTGTGCGTTTCTTGGCTTCGCGCCCGGTTGGGTTGCCGGGCACTACTGAGCCCCCCCACCACGACAAGGTGAACGCACGTTGGGGGGGAGGCAGTGGTACCCTAAAGTAAGGGAAGGTTCCAAACCCAATGTATTGCACCTCTATCTGGTATTTTTGGTAAAAACGTTCGGTTTGGTGAAGGAAAACGTCGTGAGGAAACCTATATATCTGATGGAACCTAAATGCACCAACCAGCACTTGACCAGCGTGGTGGACTATGGCCCAATCCCTTTCATATTGGGTGGCCTGTGCCCAGCAGTGGGACGTTAGGAAGGGCTGTATATTTATGCAATAAGTATATAGTGTGAATAGACCAAGACATAGTTCATTATGTGTTTTCAACCGACTTCCTCAAAAAGGAGGATGTTCTCAATTTGGCTGTATATTTTTTTTATGTTTGTTACCTCAAAACTCCGTCATTTATTAACTGATTTGGACAATTGTTGTTTTGTTTGAAAGTGTATACTTCCAGATTATTCCCATTTAAATTTCAAAAAAAATATTACTATACATACTAATCAAAATATTTGATTAAATATGTATAGTAACTGAAAACTACCAATCAGTAATTTTTTCTTTTTAGTGCTTTTTTTTGAAGTCGGTTTTAATTTTTTTGTTAAAAAGTTTTTATTACCCAGGACAACCAAATGTACTACACGTGCTAGACACTAGACCGCCGAGGCAAAGTCTTCCATCTTTAAACCTCAAATATTTGATACAAAGCAAAAATATTGTGTTCAATATTGATTTCTTATTTAAAACGCATACTTATATAGCAAATAAAACAGAATCGCAAAGTCACGAACTGACGTACAAAATAACAAATATTTTAATACAGCATTCAGATATTTTTCATTAGTCTACCGCGTTATATCGTAGCCGTAAGAGGACGTGAGTGAAGTGTACCACCAGCCAACTTTTTCTAAACTTCGGAATTTTTTTCCATGCTATCTTCTTCAAAAATGGTAGGTAGAAGAGGTTGTATATGAAAGAAATAGACGAAATCTATAAAATATAGAAGCTTATTTTTTTAAAATGCCACCAAAGGAGAACGCTTCGCTTTTTTTAGTTTAACAGCGCAAAGCTACACAACGCCACGATAAAACTGGATTACTTGAGTGATTTTGATGAGAATCACCAAATAAAATAGATTTAGTAATGAATAGATTTAGTGACATAGCACCATTCACCAAAACAGGCACATAGAGTTACGTTTTCAAGCAATTGTTTTTTTGATCCAAACCTGTCGGTAACAAGACAATTTTTTATTTATTTTATTGTCAAAATACCTAAAATAATATCACTAAAATGAAAGACTTACAATTTTAACTCTAAGCTGTTAAGATATGCTTTGTCTCTTTCTTACAAATGCAAACGTTAAAGTAACAGAAAAAGACAAAAGCTGTAGAAACCTATGTCAGCCGACTAAAACAAAATAAGTTATGAACCGCCGCTTTTCTAGTAAACTATAGCTTTACAAAATTACATGTCATCATAATAATTTTGGGTTTAAAAAAACAAATTAAAGATTGCACGATTACTATTCCCAATACATAAAGAACCCAATTTGCAATTCTTTCTACTTTTGTGCAATTTACCGGGTATACTCTTAATGAACCAACCTCGTTTCGACTACTAATTCCCTAAATTGGCAAGAGCTTATATTAAGGTAAACTATTCTCTTTATAGGGTTCCCTAGCCAAAAGGCAAAAACGCCACCCTTATATTTCGTCATGTTCATCTATCCGTATGTCATAAATATAACAAAACTTTTATGTTAGTGGTTTTGGTTGTGGCTCGTAGAACACTCGATGCGCGAGTTAGACTCGCACTTGTACTAATTTTACACATATTAATAAAATAAAAATATATGATGAAATTCTAAATTCAAATAGAAGCTACATTATAAATTAAAATACTTTTATTATAATCTATAACAATTTATTCATATCGTAAATTCTCGAATTATTTTTAAGCTAACATTTCTTTAAAAACCCCTCTTAATAGAGAGTTGGAACTCTTAAAAAATGGTTAAGTGCGATTTAAATTTAGATTTATGGCTTTTACTTTACCTTTAAAATGTGAGTGAGGTTTGGACAAACAGACAGTGATAGATGGACAGACGTGCGATATGAATTTGGTATAACTTCAGATATAAAGAAAAAATATTACTTACCTAGAATCCTCATAAAAATATTTACTAAAAAGCTATAACAGTCATCATTAATTTTGTCGGTTTTTCTGTAAGCATATAATAACTGACAAGTAATTTTTTAGCATATATTTATTGATGTTATTGTTCTTTTCGGACGTTTGGAAAAAAATTTATGATGCGCGCGCATACCGACAGCCAAAAAGCAACATGATGCTGCATTTTTTTTTACAAACAGAGGATTGTGATATACGGGATGAAATCTTTAGCTATTTTTGTTCTGTTACGCCAAAGAAGTATAACTTTTGATGTGCGTACATAAGCACAAAGTACACACACACGTTATTTTGTTCAACTAGTTTTCGTCCGCGGCTCTGCTTGTTTAGTACGTCAATATAAAAAGCTAGGTGTAGGATACATTTGTATTAGTGAAAGAATTTAAAATTTCATCTACGAGTTATCATTCCGAGATTACTCGATTTATACAAACCATCGATCAAAAAAGTACGAGAAACACAATCAGTGACAAAAAATGTCCTCACCGAATGAGCGCTCATTTAAAAATTTGATTGATGTAAGCGCGCTTTTAATTAGATTTTTTTGTGAAAACAACTTTAGGCATTGCATTTAAGGTTTAATTTACATTGATGTATATTTATTTCAACTAGTATAATTACCTAAACACAATTGGTGACAGTTTTAAGAGAACTCTTGCATAGGATTATGTATCTAGTACTTTTTTGATCGATAATACAAACAGACAAACAAGAAAATAAATTAAATCGGTTTATAATAACGTAGGATCAGTATATAGTTGTTGTAACTATATAGAGTAAGTAAATATTTAGGGTCAAAAACTATTGTTTCTTATAAACATTTCTATATACTTACATACATATAAATCCGAAAATATAATAAGATTTAAATTTTGTCAAAAAAAAATTAAATTTATTCAAAAGAGATACATATTTGTATAGGATTTTGAGTTCATATTAGTCAACTTGATTTGTATTAGAGTTGAAACTCAAAAACCTTTAAGTTAAAACTTAAATTATTGAAATATAAATTTTTGTATGTTTCAATTACAAAATATAATTGTAGTTCAGTTGTTGAACTATTTCTGGCCTAGTTCAAGCTTTAATAAACACTTAAGATATTGCCCTCGAAAATATAATTGGTACGCTCTTCAATATTTGTAGTACGAAATGAAATTCTTAGTGATTTTCCACGGCTGTTGATATAAAAAATGGGAAAATAATACTTTTTTTTTTTTTATTATGAGATTTATTTTACGCTACCTTTTGCGGCTTCACTCGTAGCTTATCTATATATGCTCTACTCCCAAAGGTCGTACTGTGATGTTAGGCTGGATAGGCTATAATCTTCCTCAATAAGTCACTATATAAATCTATACTAGTCTATACTAATATTATAAAGAGCTAAAGTTTGTGAGTTTGTGACGTTGTAATGGGTAATCTCTGGATCTACTGAACCTATTTAGATTAAATTTGGTAAGAAGGTAGTTTGAGATCCTGAAAAGGACAAAGTATACTTTTTATCCCGGAAAACAACCATTAAGGGGGTGAAAATGGGGATGAAATTTTGTATGGGGAAACAAGCTAGTATATTACAAAGTACCCCTGGTTGTGTATGTTTGGGCTAATCTGCAGAAATCATTGTACGGATTTTCATATGATTCTCACCAATAGAAAGAGATAGAGTATGCACATTTTGCGATACTAAGTTAGTAGTAATTGGTATATTTGTGAATTAAGTTGAAAATCGTCGGTATTAAACAATACTAATATTATAAAGAGGCACAGTTTGTTTGTTTGTTTGAACGCGCTAATCTCATTAACTTCTAATCCGATTTAAATATTTTTTTTGCATTAGATAGCCAGTCTATTAACTATAGGCTATATATAATCATGCTACTATCCAAGGGAGCGGAGCAGTAATTATAAATGTCAAGAAATCGGACAGACTTTCATACTTGTTGTGTTTGCAAATATGGACTTATATCTAGAAGAGATCTCTTTCAGCCAATGGTAGTGGGAAATAGTGCTATAAAGCAGGCTAAAATCGTGCAGTTGTAGTGATTTAAATAAAATGCAGATACTCAAATATAAATAGCTAATTAAACATTATATATACCTAATACCACGAATATATACTACATACCACACACAATTATGTATATATACATACATAATAGGTTCCGTCACGTAAAAAGAACACTGATCGACAGTGGAGGGGATATGTCTGCGTACGGGTGCAGTTGCGCCCTAAAGTACTAAGCTATTCTTTTTATAATACTTAATACTAGCGACTCACCCTCGCTTCGCTCAGATTCGACCCTAGATACGTTTTGACGCTTAGTATGGAATAGACTTTTTTTTCTAATTTTTCTTCTTGATTTTTTTCGATTTTTTAATAGTTATTCTGCTATTCGGGGTAAAGACAAATTTAACAAAACAAAAACCATAAAAATCGGTCCAACAATTCTCGAGTTATAAGTGTTGTAAAAAACTCGACTTTGTATGTATTTATCTAGGTACTCCCTCGTCGCCCTCTTCATACCACCAATTTTATCGATAAATCGCTCAGTGCGCAGGTGAACGGCGAGCGTTCTTTTTACGTGACGGGAACTATACTACTACTTACACAAATACATATATACATACATATATACAATACATCATAATAATTATTATAATATATGTATTACAATACATAATATTTATGTACTAAGACTAGATATCTAGGATCCAGAGTTTTGATCCTACGTCAAATAATTAGTTACCACAGTACTACAAGTCTTACATAATACGCATATATTCATACTTGTAATCATTTTGAGCTTAGCGGATTATAGACCAAATTTCAACCAAAAGTGACCGTGTATTTTATAGGCAGGTGGGTCGTAAACTCCAACGATTTAAACTTAATCGTCATTTATGGTTTCAAATGTATATACATATATTTAATATTTATCGAAATTTACCATCTTGTATTTGATATGGGAATTTAGGTAGTGCAATTAAGTAGATACCGCAGCTTTGTCTCATTTATTAATTAAGGGTAGTTTTTCATAGACATTTTGTGTTTGGCTTTGGGTTTCGTTCTCAGATACTGTTTTTTCTTTAAGAAACTTAACTTTCTATATCACCTTGATCCCCTTGGAATTGAGAATCTCGGGGTTGTTTTATAACCCTCTTTTAAATCTCATAAATCCATAATAAAAGGAAGTAAAATATGTTTATTTAAATTTGGAAATAAATAGGTCATACATAGTTCCTATGAGTTTATATAAAATATGTCTCAAATTGTAAAAATGGTACATAATGTTTAATCTGAAGAATTATAATTGAATAATTTATATAATATCGGATAGTAAAAAATTTTTATTAATAGAAAATTGTGACCGGCTCGAAGGACCAAAATTTGTTCCAAAAAAGGTATAATTAAAAGAATATATAGATATGTGTATATATATATATATATATATATATATATATATATATATATATATATCAGGTTCCCTTTGTAATATTAGATAACCTTCATGACTTACCCAAGCAGCAGAGTCGGGGCGAAAAATTAGTGATATAAAAAGATTGAACAGATTGAAAGGACTCTACAATGTATAGCTTTCTAGAGAACTTTTTATTTAAAAAAAATATACTCTGTGTGTCTGTTTATCTAAGTACATGGCAAATTATTTTTACTATAAGGTCACGACGCCATCTTGCTGTTAAGTCAGAGCTAATTTAAAATTCCATCATAAAATTTCATAGCTTTAAATCAAATTATGTAAATGGCGTCTAATTTTTACAATTACAACCCTTTAAAAGTCGAGGTCGCATTTTTTATTTAAAAATAATATCGTCCTGAATTCAATAGATCAAAATATACATAATACATAAAAAAAATATGGGGTTTTAATTATATTTGAAGGATTCCGAGTAACCTATTTAAAAATGAAAACGTTATAGGAGCAGTTGTCTTGTTATTTCCAATCTACCGTACTGTTTATTTTCTCCAATCTACTAAACTGCTCTGTCTTTATGTGACCAAACAAATAACAATGGGCATAGAATTGAAGAAACGAAACCTATAAGGTTATAGAACCTCACTCATAGTTAACAGGAAAAGTATGATGAAAATCCTACTGTGAATTCTCATAATAATAGGGAATATGCGTGATTTTAAAAAAAAATTACACAATAGTTATATAATTGTAAAATATCAAGCTGTAAAATATTAAAATGTAGTATAAAAACTTTTTATTTTAAATATCATACCTATACGAATACTTTAAACTACACACCCGCCATTTCGCAGTATGATGTACATAGAAAAATGAGGACTTTAGTTTGTAGCGACAAAATCGCTAATCACTCTGTTATGATAATACTTTGACGTCATATTCGGTCTGACCAATGGCGTGCGTTTCAACTACTATGAATTTCCCACCTATGTTTGCAATTTTTAATAATTATTTTCTTAATTTACATTAAGAAATTACATTAAAATATTAATATATGCTTAATTTAAAAGCCATCAAGATTATAATTTTTTTTTTAATTTTATTCAAATCATAGGCATATTCCCTATTATGGGTACTGGGTTCTCTCACACAATATCTTTAGATGTTTAATTGTTTATATTATATTATTTTAAATAGAAAACTAGACAAAAGTAAATATTATGTTCTGCAAACAAATCTATGAAATTGCAAATTCAAAATTCTTTTTAAGCTGCAACTAAGTTGATTATTGTTCGGTAACTTTTCCAAACTCCCATTTGTATAAAAGCATTCGCAGTGAAAATTTAAACTCTAAATTCCTTGTAAATACATTCTGAGACTCATCTTTTAATACCGCGACCAAAATTCATTAATAGTTGTTTTAAATAAGTTTCTGCTCGCGATACAGAACACGATTATTTGCTAAATATATTAATCATATTACTGCGTTAAATAGCTCTTTATCATTGAACTAGCAACTTACCCGTACGTTTTATTCTGTTTTAGCAGAACTCTCATTGTTTTTCTAAAATAAAAGTACCTTAAGTTACTCCTTATAACATCAGCTATCTGTCAGTGAAAGTCCCGTCAAAATCAGTCCAGCCGTTTCGGTGATTAGCTGGAACAAATAGACAGACGAGTTTTTTTTTTTTTAAATTGTGTGTTTTTTATAAGTACCGTATGTAATCTCATATGCTTTTAGTAATAAGCTTGTTTTTTATTTTACAAACAGACACTTCAATTCTATTTATCTGTATTGACTTAATTTTAAATCAAAGTAAAAGAATTGATTCGATTTGAGTTTCAAAGATTATTTCTAATTTTTAACTAATAAATGTTACCCCTTCTTATCTATACACATAATAAAATTCTGAGTCAAATCTGTACATTAAATATTTTTTGGAATATCTTATTGAAATAGACATTATTATCGATACAGAGTCCGAATCTATAGTTTTTAGAATTTTTGTGGCTGTCTGTCTGTCTGTCTGTTACCGCATCACGAAAAAAACCACTGGACAGATTTTGATGAAGTTTGGTATGATGATAGCTGGTTATCCGGGTCAACATATAGGATACTTTTTACTGCGGGAAAATATCTCATCTCTGAGAAATCTACACTAAACGTTAAAACGTAACGTAGGAACGAACCTGAGCGGAGCAATGGTGAGTTGCTAGTGAAATATAAAAATCAAAATATAAAAAGGTTTTTGCGATAAACAGTAAGTTTTTACGCAATTTGGATCTTTGGTGGGGCCAAAAACGTAGGGCTATTAATAATTCACCATTATCAGGTGTTTAGGGCTAACTTTGAACCAACGTTACGTTTGGGCACAACTTAGCATTATTAATTTAAGCATTTATTAATTTAAACTTCCGCTTTATTAAGTATTGAACCTAAAATTACGTTGCAAAATTAGTCTTATCAAAAATAAATTTCTAATTTATTTATTATCTTTATATTATTGGTATAAACATATATATGTACTATTAATGCATTGGCGTGGCGTGGTTATTATGTGCCTAAAAATGAATGAATATATTTAATTTTTACTACGTGTGCCTTCTGTCTAACTTTGAATAAAGTTATAACAACTACTATTTTTAATAAGTTATATCTCCATCAAGGCTTACTTCGTACATACCCACAGCAGATATTTATTTATATTTTTTTAAATATTATTGGGTTTTTTTCGAATACTAAAGTATACATTTAAGGTATGAATATAATATTATTATAATCAAAAATTAAAATTAATAGATATACCTAATTCTTACATAAATCAGTCTAACTTTAAATAATCATAAAACCAAGGACTAATGTTTCTCAATACTAAATACATCTACATCTTCAAAGTTAGAAAATTTCATTAAAATAAAAAAAAGCGTGTCCAACTTGTTGTATAATAAAAATTAAAATAACTTAGTTTAAGTAGATAGCAAACGCTTTGATCTATACTTTTGCATTTTTCCCATAACCTGTAAAATATATTATTTTATCGATTAATTTATCGATTTAGCCATACTTTTGCTTAATATTTACTAGTCAATAAGTTAATAAGGTGAAATAAGAACAGATATTTGGTAAGTCCAAATAATATAAATACCTAAATTGAGTGTTCGTTATTATAATCGATATTTTATTTAAATTAATAGTCCATTGCAGGAGTCACTATAATACCAATTATAGTCATAGTGTAAAGAGAAGTAGTAATTTTTATTGCATACTTTATATCGATTAAAGTTTCACAAAATAATTGATGAATCGATTATTTATATTATATAGTTATTTTATATTCAATTTGGGTATAACTTATAAATATAATAATTTTAATAATTTAATTATTTAATATTCACATAATATAATCACATATTAGTAGGTACATAGATTTACATAGAGTGAATAGAGTTTATTTATAACGCTTTATAATAATTACTTTAATATTTCACTTACAAATGTTACGAGACACATCACTAGTTTAAAAAAAATATTGTTAGAAATGATTTTTTTTTACATAAACAAAGAATTGTCAATATAAATAATATAAAAAAATGAAAGCTAAAAAAAATTTCATTAAATTAATGTTACATTAATTTGTGATTAATTTTAATTTACTTTTTTTACAGTAATTATTAATTATCTATGCACTTATTATATTAAAAAAAAACTCATTTCTTACCGATTTCTTAAAACTATATTTTGGGGACTGATTTTTTTAATCATCACATAAAAATTATTGATTGAAAAAAATAAAACAAAAAAATATATAACTAACCACAAAAAAAATAGTCAATTAATTTAACTGTTATAATTAACTTTTAACTGATGATTAAAAATGAGTTCTTTATCCGATGTGTCCTAACATTAACTGACGCTCCAAAGCGTTAGTTAAATCCCACACCGCTTGAACTCACAGATGGCGTTTCTTCAGAACCGTTCAATATCGTTGGTGGATATGTACATCGACAACTCAGAGCCTTCAGAGAACGTTGGACAGATACACTTCTCCCTGGAGTACGACTTTCAGAATACAACCCTCATTTTAAGGATTATACAAGTAAGTAATAATCGGCATAAATCATAGGCTCAACTTAGTAGAACATTCTACTCCTAAAGAAGTCAGTAAGATGTAAAAGATTCTAATACTAAAGAAGGCATGCATCTGTCATATTCATATTTATATCGAAAATGGTTCTTTAAACGTTTGATCTGCAAGGGATTGGAGTTGACAGCATTTTAATTTAAATCAAAAATGATGATGTTCTCCTAGCCGATTCCGGCCACGGCGGCCAATCTCTTTGAGATTAGCCAACTGCGCAGGAGATATTATAGTGCTCAAGTATACGCGCAGACACAAGTGCACTCTCTATTCCTATCATTCTCATACTCCGGTGGGACGACCACTCGACACGACCGGTGAGAGTTAAGGCGCAAGACCGACGGCTTTACGTGCTCTCCGAGGCACGGGGGTGAAACACCGCCAACTTCCCAACTCCGGGCTGTTACTGAGACTTACTATACAGAAAGTCTCAATAACTAAACTTGGCCCGACCCGGGATTCGAACCCAGGACCTCCGGGTGTGCAGCCGTACATGCTAGCCACTACACCACCGAGGCAGCCAAAGAAACCCGCTGTATGGATTTTTATAGGTAGATTTTAACCAATACCTAATAATGTATAGTAATAGAATGACACAGTATTTAACAGACGAGTTAGTCGGTAACTATTGAAAGAATTCTTTCGAATAGACCAATAAAAATTTTGTTCACGATTCGTGCATGTCATTATTTGGGTTGGAAATTTTTCTCCACAGGCTAAAACGCGTATGAAATTGTTTTTTTTTTGTTTTTCATCTTAAAATTCTTAGCATTTATTTATTACATAAACCACCTGTATACAGGTGGTTATGTAGGACTCATCGGCTAGAAAAGCCAGTACTACCCACTAAAACCCAACGGAACCTTCCCCGTCTTAATGAAACGTCGCAGGATCGCTCGCACACTTGACCATGACCCCCGACGGCAGATCTGCCAAAGCAGACCACAACAACCATGGGGTTGCTCCAACAGTCCACTCTGCTATCATAGAAGTACCATGGTACATCACCCACCGACTAGTTTAACCTTCCTCAATGCCTATATAAGGCAATAAAATTCAAGGGATTTCCAAATTTGGCTGGTAGATCAATAGAAAAGCGCGTTTAAATAAAATAAAAATTAAATTATCCCTCCAGCTTCACAATATTGGCTTAGATAAATTGGAGTTTTATTCCAAGCAAAAAGCCAACTTAGTCTCCAACTGTTGACATAATAAATAAGACTCTTCCCACATACAAGTTATGTATGTTTATGACAAATATTTACATTCAATTTACAGTCACTCACCCGAGTGTATATTTTTATCTTTTTACAAAATTAGAATGATTATATATTTTATACAACATCGTGTTTTAAAGCAAGGCCATTGATATATAAAAAAATAGATTTCCTATCAAATATCTCTTCAAAAAGTGGCGTCGACATGTGACGTTAAGTCAAACCAAAGAATAAAATTCAATTCAATTCGATTCTTTGTTATTTGGCCTTTAGATGTGCCAGTTGGGCACAGATTACTTCGCCAATGTCGTGTAGAACGGAGAAGACATGGTGTAGATAAGGTATTAACCGATTAAAAAAGAGATATTCACGCTGAGGTCTCTTTACATATAAAACTAGCGTCTCACCCTCGCTTCGCTCGGGTTCGTCCCTAGCTTGATTCTCCAAACAAATTTTCATCCCCATTTTCACCCCCTTAAGGGATGATTTCCGGGATAAAAAGTATCCTATGTCCTTTCCAGGGTCTCAAACTATCTTCTTACCTAATTTCATATAAATCGGTTTAGTAGATTCAGAGATTACCCCCTACAACGTCACAAACTCACAACCTCTCAAACTTTACCTCTTTATAATATTAGTATAGATAAAATAAATAGAATAAAACTGAAAAATTTAATTCCAAAGTTCTAATAGTCTAAACACAAATTCAAACTTAGGCACATCACATAAATCTTATAAACTTTTGTGGGTAGGCTGTCTTTAACAACTATATAATGCCTTTAAGACATCTAACACCTCAGTCTCTCCCGTGACCATGACTGCTGTAAACCATTCAAAACGTCGGGAACCAAAGTATAGAAATAAATCCGCGAAAATATCCGAAAAGATAGTTTTATTTCAAACATGCATTTTAATTTTGTCATCCGAAAAGCAAATGGCTTATTTGACTTGAAAAAAAACGTAATTCAATTTCGAATTGTGCACTTCTTTTTGAAGACACTTGAGACGCTAATTTTGTATCTTGAATTTTTGTATATCAATGAGTAAGACCTTCAAATTCACAGTAAAGCTATCCAGATAATAATGGCTGTCACCACCACCTATTGGCACCTACGTCTGTCGATGTTATATGAAGATTCACTTCAAACAGGAATCGAAGTTACGTCTCCAACCGTAGTCTTGAACCATAGTATATTTTAAATAAGCTAGATAATATTATATTTAATAAAAAATATAGTCTCAAGAAAATTTTAGTACTTTTTATCAGGACAAAGGTATTTCTTTACAAATTGTATTAATACGACATCGATAACAAGTTAGTTATTTTTCTACAAAACTCCCACCCTTACATGGAGACTGACCAAAAAGAAAAACATTATATACGTAGATATGCAAAGAATAATAATTCTATTGACAATAATTAGAATAATAAAAATGGGATGATAAATAACTACCAACATAGATAAAAATAAGTACCTACGAGTACAAGATCGTCTGCTAAAATATTAATACATTGACATACCCACGCTTCACTCGGGTGCATCCATATCAGTTTAGAAACAAATAATTCGAATTTCGCGTAATTTTTAAGGGTTTATGATTTTTGCGCTGAAACCCTAAAAGTTTCGGGAATAAAAAGGTTTTTGATTTATAGGATTTGTCTCCGCCTCAAATAGCAGAATAACTATTAAAAATTCACGAAAACAAAAAGTAAAAAAAATCTATGCCATACTAAGAGCCAAAACGTACGAACCTTAGCGAAGCGAAGGTGAATCGCTAGTAGATACAAGAATTGCTCTTTTAATATTAAGACACCTCAACTAAACAACAAACATTCAATAACAATCAACGTCCCACTAGCACGCCGATAGGATTCTACTGTGGGTTTTAGTAAGCTTAGTAAATAAGACTCTTACAGTCCCCTGCCCCTTAACGACCGACCCATGATTAGCTTCCCCAACAACATGAAAACCTTATCACCTAATAACATAGAAATTTAAGAATGTTTGTTCTCATTCGCATATGTGTTAATTTTCGCCCTTATCCTTTATTTGCCTATTACGTATCAACCTCGTTAAGATTTAATTTAGCTTCATTGATCTTCCGCCAACTTTTTCGCGGAATCCTCTTTTTCCTAAACGTATGTATATTTCAGAGCGACTTAAATAAAATGTCAATAGTGTATTTACAAATTTTGAAAAAGTGATTCTTCCACCCGGTAATCGAACCTACTATATTTCGAGTATAATCACCCTATATATTATGTATAAAATATGTTGGAACATTAACACTGCGCCATTTAGTTCCATTGTAAGTACGAGGCTTGTGTGTAGTATATCAACTATCTGGTATCCGTTGATATACTACACAGTACAAATATATAACTTTAAATACATACATCTTATAAATATAAACAGTGACTTTAGTGCACACATTCGTGCTCATCACACAAATGAATGTTCCCAGCGGGACTCGAACCCGCGACCGCTGGCACAGCAAGTAGAGTTACAACAAACTGAGCCAAACGTGTCGTGCAATGTCGTATATGTATTAACTGACGTACAATGGTAAGCCATCACGTGTTGAAATTAACAGTCTTGAAAAGAAATAATCGACTTTTCACGAGAAATAAAACAAATTGACAAATTCACTACACAAGTTTCAAGAGTTATTTGAGTAAAAACTTTACATACATAACATAATATGTATGGAAAAAGCAAAAACCAATATTTGTCTAAGAATTACCACTTGTATCATTGACGCATTAGAGAGGCCAAGTAAGTGAACGTAAATATAAAAACAATATTATTTTAAACTAGCTTGATTCCCCATAAAAACTTTCATCCCCTGAACGCAATCTATGTCCTTGGTCAAATTTTATCAAAATTTGCTCAGCGGCTTAAACGAAAAAGGGTAACAGACAGTTACTTTCTTTAAATATGCATTTTCACTTACTAGAAATGGATAAATGACAAAAATACCACCAAAATCGTATCTAGAGTATCATCTGTAGTATTGTTACTCTTTCAACGGCAGGAAGGTTTAGGATGAAATTTAGTACACAGATAAACTGTGATCTGGAACAACATATAATAAGCTACTGCTAGTAATAAAATTTATCAAAAGATGGCGCTGTTACTTTATCAAAAGATGTAAAAAAAATAAATAATAAATCCTATATTGACATAGTTTTATACATACACAGGCGATAAAGATTTCCCTAGGCCCCTACGCTCGTTAAAATCATTTGCAGGAGGCAGTGTCATCCCCATATAATTAATGACAGATTTATGCCAACACCCATCCCCATTTCATTCCCATTTTCACCCCCTTAAAGCATGATTTCCGGAGTAAAAAGTATCATATGTCCTTTCCAGGGTCTCAAATTATCTTCTTACCAAATTTAATCTAAATCGGTTCAGTAGATCCAGAGATTACCCCCTACAACGTCACAAACTCACAAACCCACACTCTTTCCGTCTTTATAACATTATTATAGACTAACTACCAACAATTCTCTCTCAGAGGAGTATTTTTTTAATATTAATGTTATATTAAAATAAAATTTCCTCGAATTCTAAAAGAGCACCTGTTGAGTTTCTCGCCGGTGGAAAGCAGTTCTGCTGAGAAGTCGAGAGTCGGTGACAAACTCAGCTATTTTAATTTTTTAAATATTAAATAACAAATTATATCTATAGTTAGCTAGTAAAAAACTCGGGGAACCCAATATGCTTTCATCTCCATATAAGTAGTACTTTGTGAATAGCATAAATAATAATGAAAATTTAGCCGGTGTATAGATAAATAATTATAAATCAAAAGAAAGTATAATATTATGTATAATTTAAATATTAATATGTCACTCACGTTTTGAATTTCTTAATTTAACGCTTAAATATAACTTTCTCCAGGCGTCACGGCTAACATTCGTTTTGAGCAAATCCTCGCTCGTGTTAAGCATTTAATTAGTTAGCGTTAATAGACTAAATTATATTAAAAGGACGAAAATATCATTATTATGTTCTGTCTCTACGTTAATTAGAACGTTGCGATCTTTTAATTTCACATGAATAGCTGAGGAGCTTTATATGCGTTTGAATGTTGACAGAATCTTTATAGATTCAGTCAGTCATATCTATAAATATAATAAAATTGTAACTAAGCCGAATCTGTACATTAAATATTTTTTGGAAAATCTTATTAAAATAAACATTATTATCGATACAGAGGCCGAATCTATAGTTTTTAGAATTTTTTTCTGTCTGTCTGTCTGTCTGTCTGTTACCGCATCATAAAAAAACCACTGGAGGGATTTTTATGAAATTTGGTATGGTGGTATCTGGTTATCCGGGTCAACATATAGGATAGTTTTTACCGCGGGAAAATGTCCCATTTCTGAGAAAAAATACAAAAACTGCGTTGTAAGAGTATACTAATATGTAAAACCTAAGAATTTGGTTTTTGGTCATCTGAACACGGACGGAGCCGCAGGCGACGCTAGTCTATTTATATAGACATAATCGATTGCTTGTACATATGTTTTTTTTATTTTTATATTTTTTTTAAAATAATAAATTGTACCTCAAGCGTGGTCTTACAAATCTTTAAGAAAAAATCCGCCGCGTTGCGTGGAAAAATTACTTTAAAATTCACTAGTTTTTGCCCGCGGCTTCGTTGGTGTTGTAACTGGGGTGAGAATTAAAGCTAACCTATGTCCATCCCCTGGACGCAATCTATGTCCTTACCCAATTTTATCGAAATTTGCTCAGTGGTTTAAACTAAAAAGGGTAACAGACAGTTACTTTCTTTAAATATGCATTTTCACTTACTATGAAATGGATAGCTATAAATAATAATAATGAAATGACAAAAATACCACCAAAATCGTATCTAGAGTATCATCTGTAGTATTGTTACTCTTTCAACGGCACGAAAGTTTAGGATGAAATTTATTATACAGATAAACTGTGATCTGGAACAACATATAATAAGCTACTGCTAATAATAAAATTTATCAAAAGATGGCGCTGTTACTTTATCAAAAGATGTAAAAAAATATATAATAAATCCTTTATTGACATAGTTTTATACATACACAGGTGAAAAAAAGATATCCCTAGGCCCCTACGCTCGTTAAAAGCTGTTGCAGGAGGCAGTGTCATCCCCATATAATTAATGACAGATTTATGCCAACACAATGATAATAGTACAAACTACAAGTAACATTTAAAAAAAAATTATGATTAAATACATGTTTAAGGTTTTATATTGATAAAGAAAAGTCGATGCTTTCGTAAGAAAACACACATAGACTCACTTAGGTAAGTGAAGGTAAGTCATATAGTTAAATATAAAACCATAATAATATGCTAATAATATTTTTTAATAGGGCAAGGAACTACCCGCAAAGGATTTAAGCGGAACCTCCGACCCCTACGTGAGGGTCACACTCCTTCCGGACAAGAAACACCGGCTTGAAACAAAGATCAAACGTCGCACCTTGAACCCTAGGTGGAACGAAACTTTCTACTTTGAAGGTTTCCCTATACAAAAGCTGCAAAGTCGGGTAAGTTTATTTTCATGTCGGCTGCCATGGCACATGTATCTTTTTTTTAATAATATTAGCGAGCAAACGAGCAGGCGGATCTCCTGATGTTAAGAGATTACCGCCGCCCATGAACATTTGTAGCACCAGAGGCACCACCAATGCGTTGCCGGCTTTTCAGAAATTTATTGGTCCGCCCCTTGAATCTTGAATTGATTTTGAATCTTGTATTCAGCTCTTTTTTTTAAATCCCATTGCTGGGAACGGGCCTCCCTTAACAGTAAGAGGGATACCTATAGTTCACCACGCTGGCCAAGTGCGGGTTGCAACAAGTCTTTCAAAAACTTGCTCGATTCTCTCAAAACTGCAGGTTTCCTCATGATTTCATTCACTGTTAAAAAATGATTCGCATGAAATTATTACTGGTACGGTTGCGGTGCGACCGGTGATATGAACGCGCTTCACTCGGTTTTCCAAGCGAGCGCGTTACCACTGAGCTACCACTAAATTTCAGTATACAGATTTATATACACAGTTATATGATACCTTGAAACGATAGAAATTATTTCTATTAAATAACGTAAATATATTTAACATAAAAGTGAAATTAAAGCGAATAAAAGCAAGTAATTTTTTCTACTTGTATTTTTTACGTATTTTTTTCCTTATAATATAGATACCGTTATAAAAAACAAAGATTTCGTATATGACCTAGTAATGTCTGTGCGGAATTTTGTTTATTGAATAAGGGGTTGAATGTTTTAGAACTGACCTACATACAATGCCGGATTTAACCTTAGCGCCGCCCCTGGGCACTATAAAAAATGCTGCCATATTATCGAAATTTTGAACAAAATGTTAAAAGTTTAAATTTTTTTCATTATTAAGTTTTTGAAGAATGCATAAAAATAATTTATAAATGATATCAATTTTTCGAAAAATGTACCTACTAGTGTCTTTTTTCCTCATTTTTTGCAAAATAAAAAAAGCATTTTCGATAACGCGAAGAAATTTTTTCCCGCCATCCAAATTTTGCCGCCCCTAAAAAATTGCCGCCCTGGACACTAGCCCTGAGTGCCCCTAGGGTAAATCCAGCACTGCCTACATAATCGAATAGAAAGTATTTTATTCATTGTAGATGACACGTAAACAGCAACTGGTGAGTTTTTCGCCATCTCTTCTCAGCAAAACTACCTTTCAAGTAGACGGTAGCTTCCTTATAGACTTACATACTGACATTTAATTAAAAGTAAAAATTGACGATTCTGATATTTGTTACTGAAAATCCTAATATCTTTCCAGGTGCTACACCTCCACGTGTTCGACTACGATCGCTTCTCTCGGGATGACTCCATTGGAGAAGTGTTCTTGCCTTTGTGTCAGGTAATTGGATAATTTACTCAACTAAATAACTGATTCACTGAAAAAATTAAATTACGATTTTCCCAGGTACCTGGGCGATCGACCATCGGTCGGCGTTTTATTTTTTTGTATAATTGTGTTTTTATCGGAAAAGATATAAAATGGGGTTTTTTCAGAAAATACACTCATATAGATAAAGTTAAATTCCGAAACCTTATCTATATACAAAATTTGATCCAAATCGTTAGTGCCGTTTTCGAATTACATGATATATATCTATATATAGAACCGACGGGCGACCGAACTTCGCTCGGAGGTTTTGACCAATAGTACAATATATATTTAAAAAAAACTAAAAACTTGAATAAATACAAAAAAAAAACAAAAGTAAAGAATTTGTATTCGACCGGTATTCGAACCCGGACACCTGTGATTGTCAATCTTGCGCCTTAGCCGCTTGCGATTTGCCTTGAATAATGTGAAAGAAAACCGCATGAAAACTTGAAAACTCGCGTTTTCCCAGACATAAGACTAATCTAGATCGATATTTCGCCCCCGAAAACCCACACATACCAAATTTCAGCAAAATCGTTAGAGCCATTTCTGAGATCACGGGTATATATAAATAAATAAATAAATATACAAGAATTGCTTGTTTAAAGGTATTAGATACAAGAGTTTTTAATTAATATTATAACATTATTAAGGTTAAAGAATTTTATAAATTCTATAAGTTATGCTTAAATTATTTAAATTTTGCACCTTTCAGGTTGATTTAAGTGAGAAACCATCATTTTGGAAAGCTCTCAAACCACCAGCCAAAGACAAATGCGGAGAGTTACTGACATCTCTGTGCTATCATCCAAGCAATAGTGTCCTAACACTGGCTCTTCTTAAAGCTAGAAACTTGAAAGCAAAGGACATCAACGGAAAATCAGGTACGAGTATATTAAATAATTATGCCGCGTTCAAACTTCCGATTGCTATGAAACTTTACAGGATAACCCGTTGGGCTAATTTGAAGATTGTCAGAAAATTTCATCAAAATCGCTCCAGCCGTTTTGGAGTCCATAGGATACATAGGTACATATTATATACAGACATAGATTTTATATATACAAATATAGCTGGAACAGGCTAGTTCATAACATAGACTAATGTACGAGGATATGATATAATAAATGATTTACCAAATATTTTAGAAGTAATGGGATTTTCTGCTACATATTTTTCGTAATCTTTTAAATCTTTGTCATCATAATGCCATTTTAAATAAGATTATCTTTTCATATTTATTTTGATTTTGGGTGCTCAACATTTCGAATGCTTTACAGCAATCGGGATATTGATTTACAAACCACGGGAGACACGTTAGAAGATGATGACCCGTGACCATGATTGTTGTAAAGCATTCGAAAATTTAGGAACCAAAAATCAAAATAAAGCCGAGAAAAAATCCGAAATGATAGTTTTCTTTAAAATGTCAAATATTAGATTAAACCTACGAACATATCACACTAATAATATAAATGTGAAAGTTTGTTTGTGTGTTTTCTTGTTACACTTTCACACTGAAAGGGCTGGACGGATTTGGATGAAATTTTGTAAAGTAACAACGAAGCGTTTTGTATGCTAACACATCTTTATTTTTTTTTAATTTATTTATTTTAGGGAAACAAACAGTGCAATAATAGATACCAGATAATTGATACACTACACAAATATACTCGTAGCTTAAACTACATACATATTATAAATATAAACACCCATGACTGGAGTACAAACATTCGTGCTCATCATACAAATAAATGCCCCCAGCGGGACTCGAACCCGCGACCGCTGGCACAGCAAGTAGGATCTCTAAAAACTGAGCCAAACGTGTCAACAATTCAATCAAGAACATTTTTGTCATCTCATTACTCCAATTAATTGGTATAAGTGTTAGAATTTTCATCTACTAAATGTAAGAGCCTTTGTAGTATAATTAATGAGACGTATACAAGTAACTTTGATTACTTTCGAAGTTGTGTTGTTTCATTCTATTGTTTAAGCTCAGAGTATTATATATTTGGTATTATATATTTATAACTACACTTACTACATGTACTTAATGCATTATTAAAACGTAATGTCATCTATATATATAATAAAATTGTAACTAAGCCGAATCTGTACATTAAATATTTTTTGGAAAATCTTATTGAAATAGATATTATTATCGATACGCAGGCCAAATCTATAGTTTTTTGAATTTTTGTCTGTCTGTCTGTTACCGCACACAGAAAAACCACTGGAGGAATTTTGATGAAATTTCGTATGGTGATAGCAGGTTATCCGGGTCAACATATAGGATACTTTTTACCGCACGAAAATATCAAATTTCTGAGAAAAAACGCCAAAACTGCAATGTAAGAGTGTACTAATATGTAAAACCTAGGATTTTGGTTTTTGTTCATCTGAACGCGGGCGGAGCCGCGAGCAATGCTAGTTTTAAATAAAACTATCTCTTCGAATGTTTTTCGCGGATTTATTTTGATTTTTGGTTCCCGATATTTCGAATGATTTACAGCAATCATGGTCTCGGGAGAGTATTATGTTCCAAGAAAGTATTAAAACGTAATATGACGATAATAATGAGTTCTTTTTTTGTAATCATTTTCATTTCCGATCTTTGTCTTCAAATATCTCGGAAACCTGACACTTTTGGACCCCATGTTGCTGATTTTTTTTATTTATTTAAATATCTTCTAGCCAGTTATACTTGTTGCATTGTGCGCCGCTAGTTTACATAAAAAATATGGCGTGAGGTTTTAGAAAACTTATAAAATGGCATGGGGTCAACAATGTACAACATGACACTTAATTGACGCATACCATTAAACAGTAACCTTTTTCCATACATTAGTAAAATAATAAGGATGAGCCGTTTTGCAAGTTTAATTTAAGTCATTTTTCATAATGTCCAAAGAAATGAAGATTTAATGTATGAAAGCTTTGCTTTTACAGTTCGGACGTAATATTACGAATTATAGCCTTTTTGTTAATGGACTGAATATGAACTATAATTTACTTAATACTCAGCGCTGGATACACTCGGGGCTTGTGCCCAGGGCGGCAAATTTTTAGGGGCGGCAAAATTCGGAGGGGGGTTAAAAATTTTCTTTGCGTTATCGAAAATGCTTTTTTTATTTTTCAAAACATGTAAAATAAAATTATTACCTAGTAGGTGAATTTTTCGAAAAATTTACATCATTTATGATTTTTTTTGCGTTTTTTCAAAATATTAATAATTAAAAACATTTAAACTTAATCGAAACTTTACCCATTTTCTGCAAAATTTCGATAAATTTTTACTGTGCCCAGGGTCAGCGCTAAAGTTGGATCCGGCCCTGTTAATACTTTTAAAGGTGAATTTCAAAGCTTCTAGTACCAGAGTCAGATAGTGGTAGCAAAGTGGTAATGCGGTCGTTCTGAAAAAGCTGGAAGCGTGTTCAAAACTTTGAGTCGATATTTAATTATTTTAAATTTGGGACGTGATACGTGTTACAATTTTATTATAACTTTTGATTCTCTTGAGAGAATAATCCAAAAAGTATCACTTACATTAGCCTGGAACTGAAAAGCAGGTCATCAAGACTTTCAGGCGAATATGAAACACTAGATACAGACAGACCGACTAAACTTCAAATTTTTTTAGTAGTATCGCTTTAATTATATCACCCATGGAACTTAGATACATTTTTTTTTTCAATTTTTGTAATACAACATTTATTACGTAACAGTCATAATATTTTATTAAATACTAGCATTACCCGCGGCTCCGCCGGCGTTCAAATAACCAAAAATCAAATTCTTAGGTTTTACAGATTAGTATATACTCTTACATTGCAATTTTTGCATTTTTTCTCAGAAATGAGATATTTTCCCGCGGTAAAAAGTATCATATATGTTGACCAGGATAACCAGCTATCACCATACCAAATTTCATCAAAATCCCTCCAGTGGTTTTTCTATGATGCGGTAACAGACAGACAGACAAAAATTCTAAAAACTATAAATTCGGCCTCGGTATCGATAATAAATAATAATGTTTATTTCAATAAGATTTTCCAAAAAATATTTAATGTACATATTCGGCTTAGTTACAATTTTATAATATGTATACATTAGTTTTTGACCGCGGCTTCGCTCACGTAAGTAGGGCGGGGATCAATAATATACCCGTCCTTAGGTTGCAATCTATGTTCTTGCAGTTTTATCGAAATCTGTTCAGCAGTTTATACGTGAATAGGTAACAGACAGTTAGTTTCATATTTATAATATTAGTGTGAATTAGTTTAGATGTCGATTTGTTTTTACTTAAATTATACGTTATCTTTTGCATTAAATTACACAAAGTTCTAGTTAGCCCAATGAAAAAGCTTTAGGTTCTCACATAGGTTTTAAGGTTCAAATTAATATGCAATAATCAAAATTATTCTCTACCACAAATATTGTAGAATATTATAGCAATATTCTATCTTTAAGTTTAAAAATGTAAAAAACAAAGATACAATTATTTATTTAACAAAATGTCTTTGAAATCATATTTGATTTAGAATTAGCTAGTATACATCCTTTAAGTCGGTAATAAATAAAAACATAAACTTTTTAAAATTGTCTCTTTTCCTACTCACTTAGAAAAACACTAAAAGTTATCACTTTAAACATTAAATAAGGACTCGTAAACTAAAAATTAAATGGGTAGTTTCGACAAAGTTTTTTTTGTATTCATTTTTAAAAAAATGCAAATAAATAATTATAAATGATTAAAAATTTTCGAAAAATGTACTATATTTTTTTTTAATTAATCATTATTTGGGCCGCCCCAAAAAATTTGCCGCCCTGGGCACTAACCCCGCCCTAGTATAAATCCAGCGCTGATTATAAACGTTTTTTTAGCTTGTATCGATGTAGGCCCTATTTTGTTTTGAGTAGTTTATATCGGGTGATATAAATTCGTATATTTATAATAATTTATACCTCAAACGAAATTATTTTAAATATAATAACAACTCAATCCAAGTTACAAGAAAAAAATACGACTCGACTTATACCAATCACACATTGCCCATACACTAAATAGAAAGAGCAATTTGAAAACCGCAAACCCGTCCTTTGTCATTGGGGGTCTGGTGCACCCCTTCGTAACATACAAATATGGATAACCGATGTTGTTAACACGCACGAATTCATAAGACTAGGCACATATTTTAAATATGTGTTTGTTTTTTTTACTAATATGTCCGTACTTGTCGCACCAATAGGTTGACGTGATTTTTACATATATTATGTTGCATACATATATTTAACATATTATGCATATTTCTTTTTTGGCGGGAGAGTTTAAGGCAAGATTATCCATATATTCTAGTACACCATAGTATGGTTTTCGGAATATCTAACAAAATGTATTATGTTCGAAAAATATTTGTATACTCGTGATACGAATCTCTTAGTATGGTTGTAACAGATTATACTAATTTGATATTTTAAAATATATATTTTTTGTTTTAACATCACACATTTCAACTAACTCTCATAAATCATGACTATCTGAATTCGACTCCAATTAAATATTTTTTTGAAACCTTAACATTTGGGTTGATGCGTATCATATTAATGGTTGTTAGGGGAATAAAAAATTGATATAAATTTGAAACTTTATCTAAAAATTTGTTTAGAAATATTTAAGAAAAAGTTTCATAAAAATTCGTAAATAAAAAGTTATGTCTAAAAGTAGTTTCTATGAATATTTTATGTCAACTTTTTTACTATTCGCAATGAATTTTCACAAAAACACTTCCTCTACTGCCCTTACTCAAGATCTGCCTGATTGTTCTTCGTTACACTCACTTTACAATATACCATTATCCTAAGAAAAACACATGATATATCTATAAAAATAACCTATTTCAATAAATTCCTTTAATAAAAGCAGAGAAAACAAACTTTCAAAAAACTTATTTTATCACATCCACGATTTCACTTTTCAGACCCTTACGTAAAAGTGTGGCTGCAATTTGGCGACAAACGTATAGAGAAACGCAAAACAGCTGTCTTTAAATGCACACTGAATCCAGTCTTCAACGACTCCTTCTCATTCAACGTGCCCTGGGAGAAAATCAGAGAATGCTCTCTCGACGTTCAAGTTATGGATTTCGACAATATCGGACGGAACGAGCTGATTGGTAGAATACTATTGGCTGGTATGTATTTTTTTAAATGTAAAATTTACATTAATACTTATTTGTACCATTTGCCTCACTTTATATGCGAAATACTTGCTATGTGTAATAAATATCTAATGCTTTTAACAAATTGAATTGAACATCTACTATAATACCATAATCTTCAAAGCTACATACATACTTAATCGATAAAAACAGCATCGTTATGTCCGCCTATCCATCTGACACAGTTATATACTGCCTATTTCCTTCAAAAGTCTTAGATGAAAAAGGTTAAAAATACCATATAAGAGTTAAATCAGCTTGTCGTATACAATTTACCAAGAAAATAAACCACGCCACTAAAAGAAGACTTTTAGTTTAAAGGCTATTTAATTTTAATTCTAATTTTCCAGGCAAAAACGGCTCCGGAGCAACAGAAACAAAGCACTGGCAGGACATGATCACCAAACCACGACAGACCATCGTTCAGTGGCACCGCCTGAAGCCCGAGTAAATTGTTGACTTGGGGCCGATACGACCCCATACATATTAGATTTATATAACGCTAAACCGATAGTTGACTTGTTATTATGATCTTGTTGGAAACCTCAAAGCTAATCTCTGAGTTACTTTACGCAAAATGTTTGGTGGGTAAAGATCTAAAATCTTACCGTATGAGGCCTTTACTCAGAAGTGGGACTGAATCTGCTTATAAAACGTAATAATTGTCTATATTTTTTAAATGTATGGGGCGTAGAAAATCATAGATAAGACAGTTCTTCTAATTCATTTTGATGAAATTTAATATTTAAAAATAAATAGAAATTTCAAAGTCATTTAATTATCTCATAGAAACACTACACAGACAATACATAGCGAGTTTCAGTAGAATTATCTTATCTATGGTGTGGTCCTGAAATAAATTCATAACGTCATAAGACTGAGCGGTTAAAAAAAAGTTAAAAATGACAAAAACTGAATCTCTTCGTCGATATCATGGCTTTATAGATTTTAATAAAAACATAATAATTCGAATTTGATTCTTTAAAGAAGTAAAACTACTTCTTTTATATGTTATAGTTTTTTTAAATAATGAAAAATCTTAATTTTAAAATATCTTTTTGCTATGATATCGACATTTCTAATCATGGTCTAAGGCGCTATTTCTAATTTTTCATCTTTCGAATTCTTCAAAGTTATACCTATCTCTTTCTAACCTTTATTGTTATGTATATTAGAAAGAAATGACACGTCATATGTTAATAAGTGAAAGCATTGAAATGCTGGTCAATGTTACCCCACACTTGATTCAGTTTTATTTTTTAAATACGAGAGCGCCTGATGATTTTGAATAATTGAAACAAAATTGGATGATTTTGCTTAGTTGTATTTGTTAGCTTAGTTACTAATTTAAGCGTATCGTTAAATTATTAAATATATAAAATTTACGAAATTGGCATTAAAATATGTTTCATTCAGACATTTTTAGTTTTTTTTTATTACGTAAACGAATATTACATATATATTTGGTGCTATCTTTATTGATTTTTTAAATAATTATTTCAGATTTCATATTTATGATTCTTTTATAATCTCAACTTCACTTTTTTATAAAAAATCTGTTTTTTTGTAATTATTCAAGATTTTTTTTTGTATATTTTTTCATCGATTATGACGAAATTATCTAACGCTATTCTAAACTGTATTCATTGACGTTGTACGTGTTAAAAATTCAATGTTAAGATTTTTAATAAGTGGTTAGATATATATATTTATTATTAATATATATATTGATAATTGTTAAACTGTAGTAAAATTATAATTAATAAAAAGTCGCATAAAGTCGCACAAAGTGAGTAGATCGTTTTAGGTGTTTTTTTTTATTTAAGCCTTTCAATATTTGCGTAACGGAATATTAAAAAAAATAAACAACTGCCAACTACGCAAGTGTCAAAATCGTATTTTTTTTTGAAAATAATATATAGATCGATTAGATTATACATTCTAAATTAAATGTAATTTATTAATAATAAATTTTTTTATTATAACAGTTGCGATGTAACCATTTTATTTATCATTTTATTAACAAATAAATATTATATAAATGTTAGTTTGAATTAGAAATTGTTTAATAATGATAGAATTTACGCTTGTTAAGATGTTAAAGCTTTTCAGTGATAGTTCATTTCAGTGTTGATCCATTCAATATTGTATACATTTGTAACTGTTTTATAGGTGAATGTAGTTTTATACACACAATGGGCTACACGTTGACTAAATAAACAGATAAAACTTCTCCGTGCAGTCCAGAGTTCGAGTAGCTCGTTGTTATAGGTGTTTAGACAGATTGATCCTAGATGCAAAACTGGCAAAAGTACCCCCCCGACCGAGCTTTGAAACCCGATTTTAGGAGAATGCCAACAAGTAAAACTTAAAAGTAGATTGTTAAGATATTTAGATGTAGTTTCAGAATCGTTATTGATTATACCGATACTAGAATATTGGTAGCGCAATATAAGTGATTAATTTGTAATTCATAAACGTTTTAAATGTACCAGTGTCGATGCAATCAATAGGTTATATGTTAGTCGACAGCATGATATCTAGTAAACGTTAAGAAAGCTCAGAGTTTGACGTATAGAGTGTTCTATAAAACCATCATAGATCTAAAATGCTAATATATTTTTTACTCTCGGGTTTTTGAATGCGAGTAGTCTTAATGGGGATTTGATCGTCGAGATGTGCTTCTTCCATTATTTTTGCTATGCATTTTAATGACATTTTTTCTTATCTATGTGCGCAATGCTTATTTAGAAATAAGCTCTGATATAGATCGAACTACTTGATCGGTTCCATATATATATATATATATATATATATATATATATATATATATATATATATATATATATATAGATCTGTTTCACTCATTTGGCTCGAAAACATACGGATCTCGTAGTCCTTTCTGTGTCATTAAAAGTAATTCACTTCATTATTTGAAGCATATCTTCGGTAGTAAAAGTTTAAAAAAAAAGTATATTAGATAAGTAAATAAAAAGGTCAATATGAGAGGAATTATTCTATAAATGTATATAAAATAATAATATTTTATTCGTCACGCAAAGTTTGAGAACCTGTGCTATTTTCATACTCATAAAGTTTTTGGATTCGAACCATTTTCTTCCGAACTCTACCTCTTTGTTTTGATATCGTTTTTTCTTAACATTTCCCTTCATACATTTCCAAGTTATTGTGATGTACAATATAGTGACATATCATTTTTTTTTACTTTTCAAATATTAGCACTAACAATTGTGTCGATGGAATAAAACGTTCATCCAGTTTTGTTATTAATGTAAAAATCATAAATATTTATTATTTATATGCTTTTTTTTATATTTATTATAAAAATGTTTATCTCTCATATATAAACTATGATATATGTATACATATATTTTAATTTATAATATATATTTAATTTTACATAAATTGAATACAATTTTCCATTGGCACAATCAAAAATATATTTTCATGAGAAATATTATTGTAAAAGAGATATTTTTCACATAAAATAAAATATAAGTTAATCTTTCTTTCGAAAATCTAACTTTCAACTCGAACAGATAATAAAATAATTATTTCCGCGGGCTTTTCACAGTCGGCCATTTTGAATGCTTAAAAAAATGACAGCTCAAATGTAATTTTGACGCGATCGATGTTTTCATGCAAGTGTAATTAGGGGAATTGTGATTTACCGTATAGTTGATTATTTTAAAACGTAGTTAAACTTTTAAAAAATATATAATATCATATAATTAAGTATGTGTTTAGATATAGAAATGTTAAAATTGTATTTATACTGTTAAAATAATTGGCTTGAAAGTAGTTTGTCTATAGAGTTTTCGTCGTTACAAAATATTCATTATTTTTTCTGTTTGAAGATATACATTTAGCTGTATATTTATACGTATTTAAAGTGTTGAGATTTAACTGTATTCTGTATTTATTATACTTGTGAGATTCATTATTCCCAAATAAATTATTGAGTTCATTTTTTTGCCTTTGATTTAACCGCCTTTTTTATTAACATGAAAGTTTATTTTACTTATTGACTGTAAGTTATGACACCGATTCTAAAGATCAAAGATGGATAGTTTGTTTTTTTCTTTTCTGACCGATTTTAAGGAAGGAGAAGATCTCACAATTCTCATATTTATTATACGTCAATAAGGTTCAGCATAAATTACAAGAAAATACCAGCGAATGCGTGGAATAAATAGATAAAAAAAGAATAATTATAATAAAAATGATTTTGAATTCGGAGTTTTTACATCACATACTCGTATGTTACACATTATTATCCATACTAATGCTATAAATGTGAAATGGGTTTGGTTATTTATTTGTTTGTTTGTCCTTCTTTCATATCGAAACAGAGTGCCGGATTAGCGAGATTTGTGTGAAGATACTCGTAGTTGGAGGGCTGGAGAGTGACATAGATTACTTTTACGGGAGATTATCTCATTCCCACAGGAAACCCAAAAAAATATTTATGATCAGAATTACTTAAAACTTGGTATTGTTGCTCTTCAGTGCAATTAAATAAATGTTTCAGCATTTTTCGAAATTCATCCCTGAAGGTAAAATATTGGATGAAAGTTTATATGAAACCTACCTTTTTGTTTTTTTTAGTATTAGCGCGAGCGAAGCCGCGGGTTCTGCTAATATATGCATAAATACGAAAATTTGTATTTGTTTGTATGACAGTTACTTGTTACCAATTACTTCACGCACAAACAGATTTGGATAATATTAAGTTCACAGATAGATTTAAATAACATAAGCTGCTGTTAATTATTATTGTAAGATTCCAAAAAATGGTGCTACTTGGATATCTTGCAAATACGATGATCCCTAGTTATTGATATAAATGCTATTGTTACCCTATCGGTTTATTTTTCTGTTTGGTTTTGCGACTTAAGTTTACTATACATTTATGCATCATGTTTCTTAATTCGAAAAAAACTTCACTCACACAAAAATTATTGCAAAAATAGCAGAAATCCTATTATTTTAAGTATTACATATTAAATTAATTTATATTAAAAGTTAAAATTTTTTTTTTTACAGAGTTCTTAGTTTTTGAGATGTTTTGAAAAAGAAGAGAGGCTCTAATTTGCTTGTATTTTTTAAGACCGCACTTAAAATAATAAAATCTATTCACCATCAAAACAATTCAGCAACATCCACTTTTATGTACAAATACTCACCAAATTCTTCAATCTACGGGAGTGGGTGAAATAATAAGGCAAAAAATAGAAATTTTGTATTTTTTATTCAATAACTTTTCTATTTTATCAATATCACAAAAGTTACTTATAATAGGCAGTTATCAGATGCCGATAAACTTCTAAAAAATATAAAAAAAGCGACCAACATTGTTCTAGTAGAATAACAAAAGACCAGTTGAAACTTTTGTATGAAACGGAAATACACTGTTGGAGTCAAACAATAGTTGATTGTCAGTCATAGACGTTTAGAAAGTGTGTAAAAAACATAGATTTTTAACTTTCAACCGACGTTTCGTTAAAAATAATTTATGTATTACTTAATTTATAATTAATTTTATTTATAAAATCCGAAATTTTTGGTAGGAATTTTTGTCGGTTTTTATTTTAGGGAACTATTTAGGCTTTTGCGTCTTCTTTCTTCTCCTCTTCTGCGGGAGGAATTGGGAGTGTTGGGTACTCTAACTTGGCACCATCCTCACAAGTGAAGATTGGACAGCATCCAGGGAAAGGAGCTGTCTTGTTGGTCTTTTCTGTAACAAAATAAATAATATGATGATGAAATGAGCAGATCAGTAGAGTTCCATTCTTTTAGGACTACTCAATCTATCGGGTTATATATGTCGATCCGAGATCAAATGCAAAGGTCATATAAATATGATTATTACTTATTACGAAAGTAATGAGTTCGATTCTTGCGTGAATTAATACTTGATAATGAGCAATTCAGTTCACAGATCCATCGATAAAGAAATATAGAAAGAATTTTATTAAAGTTTGTGTCAATGCTTTTAGAACTTGTTATGTGTAATCAAAATGGATGGATGGAAAAGGTAATAAACCGCAAGTCTAAAAAATAACTTACCAGTGTCAAGTTTGCACTTGGGGTTAGGCACAGGTAGAGGGCCACAGTCCTCCACCAGTTCGAGCAGTCTCTTAGGCTCGTCCTCGCTGAGAACGCAAGTGCTGCGACCACAGAAGGGTGCGAGATCCCATGTGTTGCCAACTTCTACTGTTGCGCAACGGGTAGACGCGAAGCAAAGACCTGGGAAGTCTGGAAAGAAATTGGACTTTTGAATAATTTGTAGAAATATTACCTTCAACGACCGCGGACACGCCGGCGTGTCAGTTACCAATAGATTTCTTAGAATTTTAATTAATTTCTTAGAAATTTATCTGGAGGTGATAAGATATGTGATGGACAGGAATAGATAGTAAAATTAGCCAAGTGCGATTCACATTTTCTAAAACTATTAACTAATGTAAAATATATAATATGAAGGGTACAGAACAAACCCAGCGATATTTGCGACGACCTCTATAAATGGTGCACTTATAATATATCGACTCAATTTAGATCTACTTAGTTATACTAGCTTGTTCCTAATACATTAACTTAGGCGTGGAGCTTAAACTTTGAATTCTAGCACATGGACGGTCACGAGAGACCTTTAATCTTTGATAAGTCAAATTACACTTTACTCCCTTGTAAATAGGACCACAAATGGCTTAGCAAATTGCAAATGTTATAGATTTAATATTACGAAAATACGAAAGGGATTTATATTTGTAAGTAATTGTATGGTATTTTGACTAAATTAACGACTTGCAAGTTTCTACATTTTTTTCAGTGTAATTCCAGCAGTTTTCTTAATCTCATTTACAAGTTGCTTCTACCAGATATTGTATGAAGGACTCATTTAGTAAGTTTAATGCTTTCTAATTTTTTTTCTCGTAGATATAAGTATAAAGTAGGTACACCAGAAGTCGCAGATTCGATTTCCGCTTTATTTATATTGACTGTATACGTGCCGGTCTAGTTAAGACCAACAGGTGTTGGGAACCATTTCACACGCATATTGTCCTAAAATCGGCGGAGCGTGGTGGCTGTGAGTCATACAAAGGGCATACATAAAACAAACTGATTAACTGCACTTTCTTTTTTATATATGTATATATTATGTTATACTAGCGACCGGCTTTGTTCTGGACTTAATTATACACTCATTTTCATTTTCAAGTTTATATTATAAATACATTAAAATAAAACTGCAATAATTCGAAAAAAAAGGTTTTATTTTAAATGTCAAACTCACGTAAATCTAAGAAAGTTTTACTTTTGCCATATGGCAATGTATGTAATGTATATGTGCAATTTTTTTAATTTATCCATAAATAGAAAAAGCATTCGAAATATATAAATCCGCGAAAAAATAGTTTTATTTAAAGTGAAAAAGGAAAAGTTTACTGGAAATTGTGTAACGATTTTAAACATTCATACCACGTATGATTGTTCTGCACGGTGGGTCAGTGAATTGGAGCATTAAGATTGATGTTCTCCGCAATACTAAAATGACGATATAATACGTTTATTATCTATATATGTCATCCAAATTTATTTTTTAAATGGGATAGTATTTTTCTCCTATACGTAACAATAATCATATAGATAGTAGTGATTTTTTTGTGATGTTGGCATTTTTACAGGACGAAGAATGTGAAACGAAACGATTTCTTTTAGATTTGAACAAAAACACTGTTGAGGTTCAATCTAATGATTAAGAAAAAAATTATGTAGTGTATGTAGTATGTTTATATTTGGCAAAGTTCCTCAAATGGAACACTCGAAACGTTTTCCGGATTTTTTTGGTCAAAAATTACATAGTGATATATATACTTCCATAATATGGAAAATTCGTTTTTTATTAGTATATATTTATAGAAAACAATAGCTACCAAATGCTTGGTCATATAGTGAAAGGTTTTTGGAGCCAAGGTTACTTTAGCTCACGTATTGCATCGATTCTCAGGATTTTAATTAATGGAGAGTCATTTCCAAGAAGCATTTATATGGAACTAGATCACTGGAAGCAGTTCAGCTTACTATGCTTCTATTCTTGGGTTCGATTCTCGTTTGAAGTTTTTATTTGTAAGGCCATAAATATAATAATTGTAATTTAATAAATACAAAATTAGACATTCAAAACTACCTTAGAACAAATACGTGGAGTTCAAGAGATAATATTGCTGTTATTCATATTTTACTTCCAAAAAATAATTTTTCAATAATAAAAAATATGCCTCGATAATTCAGGACCTATAGAACCTACTATCAATCGACACAAGTCAAGGTTCGATTACCGTTTGCGCTTTATTTTTTATTATAGTATATTAATATTAATCAGAATATTTATTAAAAAATATAATTTAAAGCGAAATTTTGTTTATCCTTCTTATACTCAAAAACACCATAAAATCACCTGTTCTTTTACTTCAAAATAGTTTATAGGTCAAAAAGTAACAAACTACTTTTTATCACGGTAGAATTAATTGGGATGATTTTAGACAAAGTTACTAAGATACTTTTCTCTAAACGATAATCAAATAAATAAATATGTTGGGACATTAACACACAGCGCCATTTAGTTCCATGGTAAGCTACGAGGCTTGTGTTATGGATACCAGATAGTTGATACACCACACATATGTAACTTTAAATACAAACATTTAAATATAAACACCCATGACTGGAGTACAAACATTCGCGGTCATCACACAAATGAATGCCCCCAGCGGGACCCGAACCCGCGACCGCTGGTAGGATATCTACAAACTGAGCCAAACGTGTCGTCAATTCAATCAAGAAAATAAATCACACAAAAACCACAATCACAAACTAATTGTTACTAGTGACATTTCATAATGATCTTTATTTACGGACTGGATTTTACGGAAGGTTTTTAAAACGTATAAAAGTCGCAAAATCCTTGATCATTTATAAAAATGTAACATATTACACAAGGTGTTATGACACCGCGAGTCTTCGAACCAAACGCAACCGCCCTACATTCTGACACATGGGTCTAGAAACGTCTAAACTACTTTCACTTATATATTTCTATCTATACATATAATAAAATTGTAACTAAGCCGAATCTGTACATTAAATATTTTTGGGAAATCTTATTATATACTTTATTATATAAATATACCTTATTATCGATACAGAGGCTGAATCTATAGTTTTTAGAATTTTTGTCTGTCTGTCTGTCTATTACCGCATCACGGAAAAACCACTGGAGGGATTTCGATGAAATTTGGTATGATGATAGCTGGTTATCCGGGTCAACATATAGGATACTTTTTACCGCGGGAAAATTTCTCATTTCTGAGAAAAAATACAAAAACTGCATTGTAAGAGTATCTATACTAATATATAAAACCTAAGAATTTGGTTTTTGGTCATCTGAACGCGGGCGGAGCCGCGGGCAATGCTAGTATACTAATAATACCATGTGTATATACTTATTATTTAACTCTACTTAAAGCACTAGCAACTATTTTGGTGGTAGCACGTTCAAATCGTATTGAGATTTTTTTATTTATGTACCTCTAATTCTAACCTAAGAGGAGAAAAAGGAGATTCGTATTTTCATTCTCTATCTCTTTTTCTTTTGGAAGAAGAACAGTGTTAGCTATCGTAAAATTTTTGTTCGGGTAATATTTTAGTTATAAAGTTTTCATCAAAGTTGATAAAAATGGGGGGTGGGGGTAGGAGGGTGAAAAATACTTTACGACCTATTCTCATACCTACCAAATATAGAAAAAAAATCATTAAAATCGGTCGAGCCGTTTCGGAGGAGTGACAAACACCGTGACACGAGATATTTATATATTAGATAACACTATAAATGAACAAATCTAAGCAAAGCAAGGGTAAGTCACTAGTCTGTATAAATCTGTATAAATATTATAAGTGTAAAAGTTACTTTGTTTGTTACTCTTTCACGCCAGAACGGCTGAACGGATCTGGATGAAATTTGGCACAGAGATAGATTATAGTCTGGCTACTTCTTATCCCGGAAAAATGTACGATTCCCGTGGGATATATTTGTTTTTGTTTTTCTAATGAATAATATGAAAAAAAAACTTTCACCATTACACGATATTTTGATAGTTATTAGTCATAGCGACTATAAAAGACATTTACTGCTATTATAATTAACTTGCATGCAATACATTCTTACAGCATGTTTTCAATATAATTTATGGCTCTAGTTTTTTTGGCGGAGTATTTCTAATTTTTATTATGTAACTAAAAAAGGTAGCGTGTTTGATTCTTGCGCGAAATCAAATCGGTTTTTAAAGTGAAAACTTCTATAGGCAGGTTTGGATGGGGAGTAAATTCATGTAAGTCATCATCGACATGGTCACGTGACGTGTTAACACTAACACTTCGAGTGCTGATAGATGTCGAAACCAGATAAATGTAAACGGTTTTAATTTACAAATTTAGGTTTAAGATTAAATAATTAATTTGAGTATGTAAAAATAACAACTGTTTGTTTATAGTTTTAAGTTTTCACTTCTGTCGGCAGTCCTCGTGACTGCTTTTTCTTATTATATGGATGTTTGGTTATGTCTTTATTTAGACATAATAAAACATTATTGGCGTTGAAAGACTAAATAATATAAAAATTATGTAAATATGAAGTAAAAATATTCTCTAATAAGTTACCGCTTCTCTAATTACATCATACGAATTATTTTTGGTATTATTAGGCTAATTATGATGAAACTTTAGACTTTCTCTTTAAACTAATACGTATTTATACAGACAGTTCAATTACTTTTCATTTATTTACCTTTATCATTAGTTATAACAACTCGCAGCCGCTAAGTCTACATAATTTTGCTCAAGCTCTATTTATATAACGAACTAGCGACTCACCCTCGTTTCGCTCGGGTTCGTACCTACTTACAGTTTAATTTAAATCGATTTCTCAGAGATGAGATATTTTTTCGCAGCTATCATCATACCAAATTTCATCAAAATCTCTCCAGTGGTTTTTCCGTAATGCGGTAACAGACAGACAGACAGACAAAAATTCTAAAAACTATAGATTCGGCCTCTGTATCAATATAAGATTTTCCAAAAAATATTTAATGTACAGATTCGGTTTAGTAACAATTTTAATATATGTATAGATGTATCTAAGAAAAGACTTGAAAATTCATCTCCTAAGTAGGTCAATATGAAAATTGATTTTTAAG